GAGAGAACGTAATCTTTTAGTTTTAAGTCGGTTTGAACAATCCGGATAAGCGCAAGTACGTACCATTTTGATTAGCCGTCGTACCTACAATGACTGTGCACTGTGTAAACAATGAGTGACGTATACTCGCGAGAGATCACTTCCGGCGCTTGCGTAAACTACACCAGAGCGCGTACACACCTCACGCACCGGATGCCGTGCGCGCGCTCAAAGATAGTTGGACATAGTGGTGTATTAGAGGTAAAATATGATATAAATACTGTTCGGTTTCTTGCATAAACTGATCGTTTCGTGTGTTGGGACATCAATGTGTCGTCACGAGCCGCAGGGTTTAATTTGGATTTGTCTGTGCATGTTTTTTTTACTCTCATAGATTTTGTTACCATTGCCATGCATTATACGACTGATAGACTGCAACGGCTGGAGTTAAAAACCTTTGTTTGTGTTCTACTGAAGAAACAAAGTCACCTACATCTTGGATGCCCTGGGGGTAAGCAGATAAACATTAAATTTTCATTTTTGGGTGAACTATTCCTTTAAAGAAGTTCCAGATCTATACTTGTGCTCTTATTATTTCAGCTATTTTGCCTTTAATGTAAATAAACATGTGCAAACAATATACTTGCTCTTGTGAATTTATTTTGATGTTAATTACATTGTGCGAGCTGCCTCTTTAATACTGCGTGGTTTATATACATGCTGCTGCTGATTGGGCTGACATTTTTGTCCCCTGGACTAAAAGCGTGTTTATTACACACAACTAGTGAATAGGAAAATAAATTATATAGCAATATTCCTATAAAATATTAGATACGTATAATTATGAAAATCTTGACAATAATAATCACTCCTGTTATTACACTTCTTATTTCATTACATGTTGCCCCAAAAACAAATTAGCAAATTAGATACAGTGTATAGATACATTGTACATAATGTACAACCTGTTTATGGCCATTTTATGCACATGTTGCATAAAGCAAAATGGTATATTAAATAATTCTGTTATATATATTTACATTTAGTCATTTAGCAGACGCTTTTTTTAGTCCCATAACATAGTTGAGACTCATTTTTATACAAAGTTTGGTATAAAAAATAAAAATTGATTGGTTTTTGCCTTTTCATGTCTTTTTATTTATTTTAAAAACGTAGCATAACATGAATAAAATATATAGTTATTTTCCTTTTTTTTTCTTATGCTCTAAACAATGAAAACTCAAATTTTTATGGTAGTCTGGAGGATATATGCTCTGATGAATAATGAACAAGTTCGAAATGTGTTATTAAATAACTCCATGAATTATGATTAATTTAAATAATTACAGCAGCCTTCTGTCCCGATTCT